GAGACCCTGGAGGGCTTGGTCTGGGTCTCTTCCACCTCCTCCTGGTGGCCTCAGTTTCTCCACTGAGAGGTTCTGCTCCAGTTTTGGCCTCTAGCTCTGGGCATCTCGTGAGCACAGATGGAGGATGTAGGGTGCTTCCAGGCCCAAGGCCCCCAAAGTGTGACCTTGGTACCCCGCAGCGTCAGCTGCCACGGCGTGGTCACCGTGGAGCATGAACCCTCTGAGGAGAAGCTGAGCCCTAGCGGACAGGCAGGGCAGGAGGAAAGCCTGGATCCTGGGTGGGATGGGGCACCGCGTGTCCAGGCACGCGGAGGGGCTGGGGTGGGGAGCAGAGGCCCGGGTCTGCGCAGATCTGGAGAGACCCAGGACTGAGGCCTGCTGTTCCCCCGGGAACAGCGCCCGCCCCGAGCCCCCACAGCTGTGTGGTGTGGTCGTGATGATGGAGCAGAGCTAAGGTTGTCCCCGGCCAGTGTCCTGGCTAACGTAGCCAGGGTCCCACAGAGCGGAGGTGACGGGCGCCCGCAGGTGGGAGGTCTCCCTGTGGGAGGGGGCCTGCCTTCCCCCGAGGGTGGGAAGGAGCAGATGGCAGGGGGAACAAGCTCAGCACAGAGCTGGGCCTGCACCCCCTGTGCTGGGGGAGGGGCCAAGCCCAGGCCCCGCCGGGAGACCTCGGCACCGCGGGGTCCGGGCGGGCAGGGGCTGCCATCAGATGTGATTCTCTCGCCACCCGGCTGGGTCCCGATCGGTGACTAATGGGAACTGAATGTCCCTCTTGTTGCTTTCCATGGCGAATTTGTCAGACGCTGTCAGAGACGCTGCGGGAAGGGGGGGGTCTGAGTCACAGGCAGGGGTAGGTGGGGGCAAAGTCAGAGCCGAGAGAGGGGCAGAGAAGAGCCTTGGTAGCACCTGTGCACACGCACCCATGCGGGGTCCCACATGTGCAGATCCAATCGAGCCAGCTCAGAGCCGGGCAGCCAGGCTGGGCCGCACGCACAAGCGTGCCCACACACAGGGGTCCCCTTGGCGGCGAGCCTCTCCTCATGGCCGGGGTGTGGGTGTCCCCGGGGAGGGTCTAGCCCATGGGCACCGTCCTCCTCAGAGAAGGCCCGAGGCCCAGGGGGCTTCCAGCCGTCACTGGCTGGGACAGGACCCTGTGGCTGGCTCCGTCTGCCTTCTCCGCCCTCGTGGCCCCGTGGCCCCTGGGGCCCTGCTCCCACATGGGAGGCCCACCCGAGGTCACGGGCCCGGGACCATCACCGCTGGGACCTTCACAGCCACAGGGTCCAAGGTCGCTGCCCTGAGAAGTGGCCCAGGGGAGGTCATCCATCTCCCCACAGACTCTGGATGCTTGGGAGGGGCAGAGGGGAGCGGGCACAGCCCTGAGGAGCCCCGCTGTGTGGACAGGGAAACTGAGGCTGAGCTGGGCTCTGTTCCCAGAACAGAGACAGGTCCTGCCACAAGCCCCAGAGGCCAGTGCTCGTCAAGGGCCGGCCAGAGGAGGCTCAGAGAGGAGGAGGGAGGGAGGGATACCGTTTGGAGGAGGGGGCCTGGCCCGCAGGCCTGGTGCGCTTTGGTCGGAAGAGCCAGGGGAGGTGAGTGGGCACTGTGCTGCAGGTGCAGTGGGGGTTTCTCGGAGACGGGTGGACAGAGGCGGCAGGGCACCGAGACAGAGGTGAGGCGCGCGGCGCCTGCCGAGGCCGGGCGCTCTGCCGCCGGTGGCGCTGGCCTCAGGCCTGACTTCCAAACACCCAATTATCCCTAAGTGCATCCGACCGACCGCACGGCCCAACCCAGGCGACGCTCCGCTCGCGGCTCTGACTCGGCTCCAGCCCAGCCCTCGTTAGGGCTAATTGCTCTGGCATTTCGTCTGACGAGGACAGGAACGGCCGGATCTTGCCACACGTCAGTGTCTTGATTTTCCTTGATGTTCCTTCCAGCGTGGGGGTCACAGCACCGCCTCAGGCCGCTCCAGCCTGGCTGCTCAGGCTGGCCTCAGTTTCCCACCTGGAAGGCTGCCGCTGCGTTGTGCGGGAGGGGAAGGCAGCCCACTATCCCCTGCTGGGTGGGCGCACACCCTAGCCATGCCTGGGATAGCCCAGCGCAGCCCGGGGCCTCGGGCCTCCCAGAGCTTGGCTGCGTTGGTCCGTGACCCCACAAACAGCTGTGCTGAGACCCTGGGCCCTGGGCTTTTGGGAGTCACACAGTGAGCTTTGGGATAGAGTGGTGGAGGCGGGAAGCCCGCAGATACGCCTTTGTGCACACACACGTGTGTCTGTGCATCCGCATGTATGAACTCGTTTGCATGGGTTCCAGTGTTTGTGAATACAGGCACGTGTGCGGGTATGGTTATGCAGGTGTGCCTGTGTGTGCCTCTCTGCATGTATGTACACCTGCGTGCACAGGCAGTCTGCTCGCATGCTTTGCACATGCACATGTAATGCATGTGTACACGTATGTCTAAATGTGTGCTTTGCATGCACACATATGTGCCCACGTTTGAGCACACAATCTGATAATGTGTTTTGTGTGCACATATGTACATGCATGTCTGAACATGTTTTGCACACAGATGTACATGTGTGCATGCATGTCTGAATGTGTGCTTTGCACACACATATGCAATGCATGTCTGTGTGTTTTACGTGCACATGTGCACATGTGTGCACATGTCTGGACTGTGCTTTGCACACATGTGTGCATGCGTGTGAGCACACAGTCTGATTGTGTTTTGTGTGCAGTGTGCACATGTGTGTCTGACTGTGTTTTGCGTGCACATGTGTACATGTGTGCAAGTCTGAGCATGTTTTCGTGCACATGTGTGCTTTCCACAGAACATCACACTGATGGTGACAGAGCCTGCCGCATCCATGAATTAAGGCAGGACACAAGGTAGACGGGGCCGAGTGAAGGAAGCCACTGTCCTCGGCCCTCCGGGTGTGGCTGGAGACAGGTCTCCTCTCTGTGGGGGTTGGCAGGAGGTGTGGGGTGAGCGCCTTCCTGGACCCCTTATCAGCCTGGGCCTGGGAGGCACCGAATGGGAGTGAGTGTGGTCAGATTGCAAACTCCTCACCGCCTGTAGAGAGCAGCCACAAAGCCAGGGTAGAGTCCGGGGCCCTGACTTAGCGTGGGAGCTGCAGGCAGAGCCGGGGGCGGCTACACCGTCATTATGGCTATTAAGTCTCACGCTGAAAGAGGTGGAGGAGAGAGAAAGAGCCGCAGCCCCTAATTGCCCCGGTGATTGACAGGAGTCTGCAATTACTCAGGATGACTATAAGGGGCAGCGGGGAGGGGAGGAGGGGACAGAGGGAGGGGGAGCAGGGCTGGCAGAGTCCCCGTCCCACCTCTGAGCCCAGAGCAGGTGAGGGGACAGCAGGGGCCCTGTCGCCCTTGATCCTGTGCTCAGCCACGATTGACCCCTGCCCTGTGTGGCCTGGCTGGTCCCTAGCCCTTTCCTCCCCGAGGCCTCTCTTGGGGCCTCCCAGCCTGCGTTTCCCTCAAGGCCAGGTGCCAGCCGCCTTAGATCTCTCCTCTGGTGCTCTGGGGAGCTGGGCCCCGGCCTGGTGTGTGAGCAGAGAGGCCACACGTAGCCCAGGGGGCTTCTGCCTGCAGGATGGGTCACCTGACAACCTGGGAGGGTTCCATGGGGCCCTCGGCAGTGGAGGGTCACCCTGGTGGCCTGCTGGCCTCTTGGGGCGTCTTTGGAGAGGAGTAGAGGGGAGGGGAGGGTAGCCTTTGTGAGTCCACAGCAGAGCAGTGCTGGGCAGGGCTCTTCAGTGCTCAGGGGCCTCAGGCCTGACCCGAGTGAGTGTGTGTGTGTGGACTGTGTCCCAGGAAAGGACAGGTACCTGGGTGGGTGGGGGGCTGGGGGGCTTCCCTCCCCAGGGTGTCCAGCACTCCAACCCTGCGTGTGTGGTACTGGGGGGTCGGGGCTCAGGGAAGGGGTGACGGCAGAGCCCCGACACCTCCCCCAGTGCTTCTGTGAAAGCACACCCAGCCCGGGCAGGAAACTGAATTAAAAAGCAATATTGTGTCAGCGGAAGACATTTGCTGAAAGGTTAAACCCACATCCGGCAGGGATGCCGGCGGGCGCTCGGCTGGGTTTGCGGGAGCCCCCCCCCATGAAGCCCTGGCAGCCTGGACTTGCCTTGTGAGGGTCTCCAGCACCCCACACGGGAGGGGGCTTCGGCAGGCCTGGGAGCTGGGACTGAGGCCAGCCCCCGCCACCCCCTGGGGCCATCCAGGCTGGGCAAGGGGTGCTTGGTGTCCACCGGCGTTCAGGAGCCGGGCACCTGTGTGAGGACCTGGCTGGAGTTGTGGGTCCAGGAGCCACCTGGGGCCAGGCCCAGCACCATCCAGACTGTGTGGGAAGGGGCTGTGATTACTGGCGTAGCCAGGGAGGTGGGTGGGGCCCCACAGGGTGTGGCTGGGGAGGCGTGGCGGGGGGCGGGGCAGTGGAGGCTTCAGGGTGCGTGGGCCACGTGGGTGCCTGGGGGGGGGAGGCGGCCCAGCACACTGGACTACACTTAGGGCGTGGGGGTCTGGTGGAGATGGCTGGCCGGGGAAAGCTGGTGGAGAAAGACCCTGCCACCTGCCTTCCTGGGCCTGCCTGCCATGAAGGTGCAGGGTCACAGGGACATGCCCCGTGGGGAGCCCAGCACCGCCCCCCCACCCCCCGCCCTGCACTGGCGGGGCTCTGGGCACCTGGCCCCTGCTCTGCAGAATGCAGGCCAGCCCCCGGTCCGTGAGCCGCGGGGCCGCTGTGATTCAGAGCAGGTGCCGGCCACAGTGGATGCAATTAGACGTAATGGGACAAGCCCTCCCCCTCCCCGCTCGCTGCGCCCACCCCCGCCGCCCTCAGGCGATGCAGGCGGGGAGAGGAGGCTCGGGAGGTGGGAGGTGGGGGGACCCAGAGGGGCTCTGACGTCAGCCCAGCCTTTAAGAGGCTGCCGGGCCGCCTGGCCAGGGCTGTGCGACGGAGCCCCGGACCACCCAGCCGCGCCATGCCCACCCCCGGTGCCGCCGCGCCCCAGCCCAAGGGCTTCCGGAGGGCCGTCTCTGAGCTGGACGCCAAGCAGGCGGAGGCCATCATGGTGAGAGGGCCGCTGCACCCCGGGGGCCGCCCGCCGGCCCAGCGTCGGCCTGAGGGTGGCGGGTGGGAGGTGCGGGTCCCACCCTAACGGACATCGCCGGTGCCCTGCCAGTGCCCTGCTGCGTGGAGCTGGGCGCTGAGCATGCCAGCCTCTGGGCTCCTGGCCCATACAGGCGTGGGGGTCCTCTGTGGGCCCTTGAGGGAGCTCCAGGCTCAAGACTGTGGCCGTGGCCTTCCAGAGGCTTCTTCCCTCCTGTTCCCCCCACCCCGTCCCTTTGCCCCTCCCCACCTGCCTTCTCTGCCCAGCTGTCAAGCGATGCCCCCCCCCGTCCTTGCTTATGGTAGGGTCCCTGCAGTGGAACAGGTGCCCAGGTTTGTGCACCAGAGGCGTTTGTGCTCTGGGCAACCTTTGCCCCTCTTTCCACCTGTCTGTCCTCCTCATCCAGGCCTTTGGGCCCTCAAGGCTGGAGCCCAGAGGAGGAGGATGTGTGTGTGGGGGGGTGCCAGGTCACCCTCTGCAGGGCTGGACAGTTGGGGCTCCTCGGCCCACCAGCGGGGGATCTCTGGTCACCCGCTGCTAGCCGCACACGGATAGATCTCATGGAAACGAGGTGACACCTGCAGAAACCCGGCTTGCAAGCCCTTCTCAGAGGGTGATGTGGGCTCAAGGGCGCCCCCTGCAGGCTTCCAGCGGGAGGAGTCTCCAGGACTGATCAAGCGCACCCCCCCCCCCCCCCGCCTCTCCTCCCCCCTCCCGCCTCTCCTCCCCCCCCCCCCCCCCCGCCACTTCGTGGTGCTCAACACAGCCATGGATGGGTCCACAGCCCCCACCCCGAGGCACGGAGGGGCTCCTGCAGCCCCTCCACTGCCCAGGCCTGAAGGGCGCGGGGAGAGGACTGTGTTCTCTTACCAGAGTACCCAGAACCTTCTGGTTCGTTCAGTCCCAAGGGATGAGGTAGACAGGCTCGTCTGCCCTGGGCAGCTCTGGGGGGTGGGGGAGGGGTGAGGGACACGGCTGGTCAGCAGTGCTGTACAGGGGCGACCTGTGTCCAGGCTCTGATGATAGCCAAGGATGAGGAGGCAGACAGGAGGAGGAAGGGGCAGGAGGCCCTGCAGAGACAGCAGCGGGGTGGCAGGAGGTGGGGTTTTGTGAGGGATTCCACGGGGGGAAAGAAGCAGCATGGGGGCACAGGCTGGGTCACCTGTGGTGAAGTGTGCTGACCCTACCTCACCGGGCAGGGCCAGGCAAGTGCAGGCAGGGAGCCCCCAGGCCCCGGCAACCCGTCGCTCCGGCAGCCCCCAGGAGCACTGCCACTCTGTCCTGGAGGGGGGGCATCTGCCAGCTCTGTCCTCAGGCATCTCCTGAGCCAACCTGCCCCCATCCCTAATCTGCTTGGGGCCCGGTCTGGGGACGGGGGACACAGCACCTCTGCCTTGGGAGCAGGCACCCCTCCCTGGCCTCTTCCCACCCAGCCTGAGCCTGAGCCTGCTCCCGGCCCCACGGCATACGGAAAAGGTGCCTCATAGCCCGCTCATGTCGTCCGTACCCACTTCCCAGGGGCCATGGAGTAGCCTGGGCCTCGGGGCCTCTGTGGGGCTGGGAGGTGGAGGGGCGGTACACCTGTCCCTGTCCCCCGCAGTCCCCGAGGTTCGTTGGGCGGCGGCAGAGTCTCATCGAGGATGCCCGCAAGGAGCGGGAGGCGGCCGTGGCGGCTGCAGCGGCCTCCTCCTCCTCCTCGGAGCCCGGGGACCCGCTGGAGGCCGTGGTGTTTGAGGAGAAGGAAGGGATGGCCACCCTCACCCTGCTCTTCTCCCTGCGGGCTGCCAAGCCTTCCTCACTGTCTCGGGCTGTGAAGGTGTTGGAGGTGAGGCCTGCGGGCTGGCTCCAAGCTCGGGGGGTGGGGTGGAGGTGGCAGGGGACACGCTACACACATGGACAGGGCCCTGGAGGGGCGGGTTTGTGTCCTGCAGTGTCCTGTGTCATCTTCACCCTGTCCTCCTCCCGCTCCGTGCCTGGGCTGGAGGCTGCCCATGGCTAAGGTGGCAGCCGACTGCATTCTGGCTGTGGCCTGTGACCTGGCTCCGGGGAGACATTTCCAAATGACATTAGAACCAGACTCTGGGTCAGCTCCCAGATGGGCCATGCGGCCCAAGGGTCTGGTTGCCAGGCAACAGGAGCTGGAAGTGGACCTTGATGTCCCTGGACACCCTTGTCACTGTGCCTGGACCCAAGCTTCAACAGGCAGAGCCTGGGCATGGCTGACACAGACAGGGTGTCCAGAACAGAGCTCTCGGGCATGGCCCGGGCAGCTCCTGGCTGCATGTAGGAGACAAAGCATCTGTGCCAGAGGCCAGCCTGTGCCCTGCAGCTGAGAGCCTCTGACTCAGCCAGCACCGGCGCTCACACCGGTCATCCCAGCTACTCAGGAGGCCGAGACCTGGATCCAAGTTTGAAGCCAGCGCAGGCGGGAAGGTTCATGAGAACTTATCTCTAAATAACCTCCAAAAAGCCAGAAGTGGAGCCGTGGCTCAACTGGTAGGACACTTAGGGATAGTGCCCAGGCCCTGAGTTCAAGCCCCTAGACCTGCACACACACACACACACACACACACACACACAACCTGGCTAGGCCTTTCCACCTCTTTCTCTAGATCTTTCTTTGCATCTCTTTTTCCTCGGTCTACTCTCTCTCCCTACTTTGCTTCCAAAGACATTTGAAGCCAAAATTCACCACCTGGAAACGAGGCCGGCCCCGAGGCCCCGGGAGGGTGGCCCCCACCTGGAGTACTTGGTGCGCCTGGAGGTGCCCAGCGGGGACCTGGCCGCCCTGCTCAGCTCCCTGCGCCATGTGGCGGATGACCTGCACAGCGCGAAGGAGGACAAGAGTGAGGCTGGCTTTGTCCTTGAATGGCCCCGAGGTGTGGGCTGCCATGGGGTGGGGAAGGGGGGGTCACCTGCAGTGTCCACCTCCGAGCCTGAGGATCCCCGAATGGTCCAGCCGCAGCAGCCTCTGTACTCCCCAGAGGCCCCAGGGCGCTTGCCCAGGAACATGGGAATGACACTTACTCCTGACTTTTTGCAGTCCCCTGGTTCCCAAGGAAAGTGTCTGAGCTGGACAAGTGTCACCATCTGGTCACCAAGTTTGACCCTGACCTGGACTTGGATCATCCGGTGAGCCTGTGACCCCAGAGCTTCCTGTCCGGACTGTCGTGTGCCCAAGGCCAGGGGTGGGCGTGGCCGGGGCTGGCCCTGGGCCCTGCCTGGCCATGGGGCAGGGAGGGCAGGACCTGCTTCTGACCAGTGTGTGTCCCTCCGCCACCAGGGCTTCTCGGACCAAGTGTACCGCCAGCGCAGGAAGCTGATAGCAGAGATAGCATTCCAGTATAAGCAGTAAGGGGTGGGGCTTGGGGCTGGGGCTAGGCCCTGGCAGGAGGGGTCAGGGTGGGGGGCTGGGTTAGCCCCTGGCAGGGAGGAGGACAGGGCCTTTGTGGCCCTCTGTAACACAGGGGCTGCGCCACCCACTTGGGGCTCTGAGGCCTGCCGCTGCGGGCTGTTCGGCGTCAGGGCTTCCCCTAAAATTCTCCGGGTGGGCACTGACACCCCGTTGGGGAAACTGAGTCACAAGGGGCTGCATGGGGCTGTCACTGCTGAGAATAGCCCATGCCTGGACGCATGGGAGTCACATGGGTCTCGGCCCTTTCCAGCCCCTGGGGTGGGGTCCCCGCTGACTGCGGACCCCCCACAGGGGCCAGCCCATTCCCCACGTGAAGTACACTGCAGAAGAGATCGCCACCTGGTGAGACCCGGGACCGCTGGCCGGGGCGGGCCGGGGTGTTCGGGAAGCTGCCTCTGGAGAGCCTGAGGCCCGGGGGGGGGGGGGGCGGCGGAACTTCCTGAAGCTCCAACTATGGGGGTATCCTGGGGTATTCCCTTTGGCTGGCGTCTGCTTCAGAAATGGCCCCTAAACCAACACCCACCCGGTGGGGGGGCGCTGGCCGGGGGAGTCTGTGGGAGGCCCTGGGGCCCGGCAGTACCCCAGGCCCCTTGGTCCACAGGAAAGAGGTCTACACCACGCTGAGGGGGCTCTATGCCACCCACGCCTGCCGGGAGCACCTGGAGGCCTTCCAGCTGCTGGAGCGCTTCTGCGGCTACCGCGAGGACAGCATCCCGCAGCTGGAGGACGTCTCCCGCTTCCTGAAGGGTGCGGGCGGGAGGGGGACCCCCCACCCTCCCCCCCACCCCCCACCCCCTTCCCCGCTCCCGGCCCTGACACACGCACGGCCTGACACACGCACGGCCCTGACACACGCACGGCCTGACACACGCACAGCCTGACACACGCACGGCCTGACACACGCACGGCCTTGCAGAGCGGACAGGCTTCCAGCTGCGGCCTGTGGCCGGCCTGCTGTCTGCCCGGGACTTCCTGGCCAGCCTGGCCTTCCGTGTGTTCCAGTGCACGCAGTACATCCGCCACGCCTCCTCTCCCATGCACTCGCCTGAGCCGTGAGTGACACCCCTGCGTGGGCCTGGGGGCGGAGGAGGTCAGACGCAGGGAAGGTGGGTCCTGCTGCCTGGCCTCAGCTTGCCTTCCTCCTCTCTCGGCCTCCCTCAGGGACTGCTGTCATGAGCTGCTCGGGCATGTGCCCATGCTGGCCGACCGGACCTTTGCCCAGTTTTCCCAGGTGCATATGAGGCCTCCGGCTGGGGGGCGGGGGGTGGGGAGCAGACACTTGGGGCTACCCTCTGAGAGGCTCTCCACCTACCACCCTGTGATGGACAGTGCGCCCACAGGGACAGGGGAGCTCAGGAGCAGGGGACAGAGGCTGCCGTGCAGTGTGCAGACCACCTCAAAAATCCAGGAGGCCAAGTGTGCTCCCCGAGAGCAGGTCCTGGCAGGGGGCAGGGAGGGGAGACCTCAGGGCCCAGGCTGCCTCCTGCTGGCTCCCATGGGGTCAGTGGGTCTGAGCCAGATCGCTGTGTCCTCCCTGCCAGTGCGGTGGGTGTGCACACCAGCACCCTGACCTGAAGCACAGTCAGCCTTCTTTTTCCTCCTCCGCCCGCAGGACATTGGCCTCGCATCCCTGGGGGTCTCGGATGAGGACATTGAGAAACTGTCCACAGTGAGTGGCTGCAGCCCGCCCCATCCTGCCCACCTGCAAGGACGGCGCCCTGGCCACAGCTGTCGCATGGATGCATGAAGGCCAAGGCGAGGGCCTCGGTGGGGGCCGCAGGGAGGGAGGGCCTGCCGACCCGCCCGCTGTCCGGCAGGTGTACTGGTTCACTGTGGAGTTCGGGCTGTGCAAGCAGAATGGAGAGCTGAAGGCCTATGGTGCGGGGCTGCTGTCCTCCTACGGGGAGCTCCTGGTGAGCCCCTCATCCCCAGCCCTCGTGGGCTAGGAGTGGGGGGCCCACTCCTCCTGGGCTCCTGGATTCCGGCCCGTTGGGGGAAAGCTGTCTCTACTGGTTCCCATTCAGTGTCGTCCCAAGCCCTGTCCCCATTCCTGACCCCAGTGCCACCCCCCAGCCCTGTCCCGAGTCCTGACCCCAGTGCTATGCCCAGCCCTGTCCCCAGTGCTGACCCAGCCCTGTCCCAGGGTCCTCCAGGCTATCCTCAGAGCACCCCATTCCCTCAGGGCCTGGGCATGGTGGGCTCCGGGACCCTGTGGTCTCCCTGGGCGTGGTGGGCTCCGGGACCCTGTGGTCTCCCTGGGCGTGGTGGGCTCCAGGACCCTGTGGTCTTCCTGGGCATGGCAGGATTGTGACCCTGTGGTCTCCTCAGCACTCTTTGTCAGAGGAGCCTGAGATCCGGGCCTTTGATCCCGACACGGCTGCCGTGCAGCCATACCAAGACCAGACCTACCAGCCGGTCTACTTCGTGTCGGAGAGCTTCAGCGATGCCAAGGACAAGCTCAGGTGGGCAGGGCTGTGGAGCCCCTCACACCGCCAGCCCACACCAGCCAGGCCTGCGCCGCCTCCTGGGAGCAGGGCCAACTCACACGGGAGTGCTCCAACCCTCAGCCACAGCATCCACTTGCTGCAGTGGTCCCCCGAGAAGGGCTCCAGGAAGTGTGAGGACCCCAGGAAGTGTGAGGACCCTGAGGATACGGGGGAGTGTGAGGATCCCAGGGGGTGTGAGAACCCTGGAGAGTGTGAGGACCCTGGGGAGTATGCAAACCCCCAGGGAGTGTGAGAACCCTGGAGAGTGTGAGGATCCTGGGGAGTATGCAAACCCCCAGGGAGTGTGAGAACCCTGGGGAGTGAGGACCCTGGGGAGTATACAAATCCCCGGGGAGTATACAAATCCCCAGGGAGTATGAGGACCCTGGGGAGTATGCAAGCCCCCAGGGAGTGTGAGGACGCTGGGGAGTGTGAGGACCCTGGGGAGTGTGCTAACCCCCAGGGGGTGTGAGGACCCTGGGGAGTATGCAAACCCCCAGGGAATGTGAGGACCCTGGGGAGTGTGCAAACCCCCAGGGGGTGTGAGGACCCTGAGGAATATGCAAACCTTCAGGGAGTGTGCAACCCACCAGGGAGTTTGCAGGTCCCCGGGAGTGTGAGGACTCCAGGGAGTGTGAGGACATATGGGAGTGTGAGGATCTCAGGGAGTGTGAGGACCCAGGGAATGTGAGGACCCTAGGATGTGTGCAACTCCCCAGGGAGTGTGAAGATGCTGGAAGCATGCAAACCCCCAGGGAGTGTGTGGACCCCAGGGAGTGTGAGGACCCCAGGGAGTGTGAGGACCCCGGGGAGTGTGAGAATCCCAGGGAGTGTGAGGATCCTGGGGGTGTGAGGACCCCGGGGAGTGTGAGGACCCCAGGGAGTGTGAGGACCCTGGGGAGTGTGAGGACCCCAGGGAGTGTGAGGACCCTGGGGAATGTGAGGACCCTGTGGAGTGTGAGGATCCTGGGGAGTGTTAGGACCCCGGGGAGTGTGAGGATCCTGGGGAGTGTGAGGACCCCGGGGAGTGTGAGGTTCCTGGGGAGTGTGAGGACCCTGTGGTGTGTGAGGATCCTGGGGAGTGTGAGGACCCTGGGGAGTGTGAGGACCGTGGGGAGTGTGAGGACCCCAGGGAGTGTGAGGACCCTGAGGAGTATGAGAATCCCAGGGAGTGTGAGGACCCCAGGGAGTGTGAGGATCCTGGGGAGTGTGAGGACCCCAGGGAGTGTGAGGACCCTGGGGAATGTGAGGACCCTGGGGAGTGTGAGGACCCCGGGGAGTGTGAGGACCCCAGGGAGTGTGCACACCCCCAGGGTGTGTGAAGACCCCTGGGGAGTGTGAGGACCCCAGGGAGTTTGAGGACCCCTGGGGAGTGTGAGGATCCTGGGGAGTGTGAGGACTCTGGGGAGTGTGCACACCCCCAGGGTGTGTGAAGACCCCTGGGGAGTGTGTGGCCCCTGGAGTGTGGGGAAGGAGGCCTCGGGCTGGGGCAAGCCTGTGAGGCCACCCTCCTGGTGCTGGCAGAGCTGGCGCGTCCACGGGGCTCTGGAGCTCCTGCCGTCTGGGCAGTGGGGACCCGGATGGATGGGGCACAGGTCAGGTGGGGCCATGGGCTGTTGTGGGAGCAGGGTGGGGACTGAGGGTCTGCGCCCCCTCCTCAGGAGCTATGCCTCACGGATCCAGCGCCCCTTCTCGGTGAAGTTCGACCCCTACACGCTGGCCATCGACGTGCTGGACAGCCCCCGTGCCGTCCAGAGCTCCCTGGAGGGCGTCCAGGACGAGCTACAGACGCTGGCCCATGCGCTGAGTGCCCTTGGCTAGGCGCCCGTGCACGGCCCCTCCCCTGCCAGGGCCCCGCCCTGGGGTGCCAGGCCCTTCTCCAACCTCCCCGGGCCTCTGTCCTGCCCCAGAGCCTGCCTGCCAGGAGGCGCCTGTCCCCACCCTGCCCCCACCCCCCTACCCCCCTCCCCGAGCCCCCCTCCCCACCCTCCTCCCCGAGCGCCCCTCCCCACCCCCTCCCCACCCCCCCTCCCCGAGCCCCCATGCGGCCCCCTCCCTGCGCTCCTCACCACGCTGTCTGGTGTCTGCTGTGTGTGTCTGTTCTGCATGCACCCCAGCGCTGCGGGGCCTGCGCTGCCCCCACGCCCGCACCCTCCGCCACACCCCCGTGCATTGTCCAGTAAAGGAAAGAATCTCCCAGCGCTGTCTGGCCTCTGTTTCCAGAGACGACCCTGGCCATGCCCCGTTGCAGCCTTGTTTAGAGGTCCTCTCCCTGGTCAGTCTGGCCGCCATGGGGACCCCGGATCTGACAGGACCCCCACCCCACTTTGCCTTGCTTTCCTGCCCCCCCCCACCAGAATCCTCAGTGGGGCTGTGGGCAAGAGGAGGGCGCCCTCAGCCAGGAGGGGCCGGGGTCAAGTGATGCTCACTAAAGGGGGGGCGGCAGGCCCGCCCCTCAGCATGGGCTCCCTTGAGTGTAGATCGTGAGATGGAGGGAGGGGGGAGATGCGGGTACTCTAGACCCCCACATCCAGGGCAGGGCCCCGGGGAAGGCCCCGAGCTACACAGAGGCACTGGGGAGGCGTCAGGAGCAGCAGTGAGATCCCAGGGCAAGTCCATAGACCCCGAGGAAGAGCCTGGAGCTACACGGAGGCCCCAGGAGGACCCCTGGGGTACAGGGAGGCTCCGGGAAGAACCTGGGGGTATAGGGAGGCCCTGGGAAGACCCCAGGGATACGTGGAAGTCCTGAGAAGAATCTGGGGGTACACAGAGGCCTTGGGAAGAATCTGGGGGTACTCAAAGGCCCTGGCAACACTGAGGCCAGAGCAGGCCTGGGCCATACTAAGGCAGCAGGGGCTGAAGCACAATGTTCTGAGGCACCCCCATCCGGTGGAAAGTTCTAGATTTTCTGGGCCACATATCCAGTGGAAGGCCTGGACATAGTGCCCCTGTGAACCACCCTTGGCCTTGGTGAGATGTTGGAGCCCGCCCAGGCCCCGAGGACAGCCCCGAGTCATGCCGAGGACGCCCGGTCCACGGACGGAGTCCACGAGAGCCTGAGCAGCCGGGCACTGGGGGGAAGGCCCTGAACGGAGCAGGGCCTGAGGACGGGGCGGAGCCCCCTGGGGTGCAGACACTGGCACCGGGGCCCATGGAGGAGGTTTGCACAGAGCTCGGGCCGCAGAGAAGCCAGCCATGCGGGACCCCGGACGCTGGGCCCTGAGTCAGGACCCAGAACGCTGAACAGGGCTGCGGGCACACTTACACACCCGGGAAGGCTCTGTGCAGGGACAGATTCTTCTGTGGAGGGTGTGTGTGTGTGAGATGTTCGATTGTGGGGTTACAGTTGCACAAGTCAGCTGAGGAGACCATTGCTTTGTGTTCAGTGTCATCCCCGCCTCCGCTCCCTCCGGTCTTCCCTCCCACCCCGCACACCGGGGCCGCCGCCGCATGGGCTCCCCTTTGTCCCTCCATCTCTGTGCCTGCTTCCCCTCCCAAAGACGAATGAATGAACAAACAAAACAAGAAGAATACAGCCAGTAGCAGAGCACAGACCTCGTATCTGCTTCCTGGCGGCCATTGTGATGAACCTTGTTGTCCAGGAGGAGAGGATCTGAGGATCAGAGGATCTGAGGCTCAGAGGATCTGAGGATCTGAGGCTCAGAGGATCTGAGGCTCTGAGGATCTGAGGATCAGAGGATCTGAGGTTCAGCGCCTTGGTGATCCTCTCCTGACAGTGTCCTTCCGCCTCACCAAGAGCCAGGCCTAGAGTCCCTGTAACTTATCATTTCCCGGGGGCAGAGGCTGATTGTGACCTAGGGCCTAAGTCACGTTGACTCCCTGGGGAAACCTCAAGGGATAGTGAGGAGGAGGGGGATCACCAGAGAGAGTGAGGAGGAGGAGGATCAGAGGGGACAGGGAGGAGGAGGATCAGAGGGGACAGGGAGGAGGAGGAGGATCAGAGGGGACAGGGAGGAGGAGGAGGAGGATCATGGGGGACAGAAGGTCCTATGGCACCTGGAGACATTGAGGCAGCCCTGAGCCACACTGAGCCTCCCCTCCCCCAGTCACACTGAGATCCAGAGGACCACAGTAACTAGGAGAAAGGTGTGAACCAACCGAGGCCCCAGTGGAGGCCCGGAGTCACAGCCACACTGGAGAAGACCTCCAGCAACATGGTACCCGCGGGAGGCCCAGAGTCACGCTGAGACCACGGGAGGCCGGGAGATCATTGAGCCCTGTGGAGATTCTGAGGAAGGCCCCAAGCCACGCTGACACCATGAAGACGGAGCGGAGCCCGTGGGGCAGCAGTCGGGCCATGGTGACACATTCACGGACACTCAGGAAACAGCTGTTACCCCACGGCTGGAAGAAGGCCCAGAGCCACACTGACATTCTAAGATGCCCAGTCCCTCGAGGTCCTGGGGTGGACCTGGAGATGTCTGAGATGCAGAGCAGTGCTGCGATCCTGAGTCCCCAAGAAAGACCCTGGCCTCCCACAGTCCCCCAAGAATACTGTGCACCCCGTTAAAGCGCAGAGTCCCTGTGGCAGAGACCGGTATTGAACTCCCGTCTGGGGCAGGTGGGGGGTTCTGTGTAAGATCTGGGGAAACGCCTTTGTGAGCCTGACGTCCGCACCCAGTTCAAGTTCAAACCCTCAGCCAGGCTGTGATCCCTGCTGAGCTGGGACTGGGGTGTGTGTGTGTGTGGGGGGCAGCCCTCCGAGCACTGTGGACTGCCTAGAGGGGCCTCTGAGCACCACTGAGACTGAGTGAGGCCATGGGTGCGTGTCAAAGCCGGGGTGACCCCAGGAGACCCACCTTAACTCTCACTGAGACCCCATAAAGGCCACGAGACAGGTCTCAGCCAACCCTGGGTAAGCTGAGCCCTGGGGGGGGGGCTGTGAGCCCCACTGAGACCGGGGGGCCTGTGAGCCCTCTCCCCCAGACTTCCTTCCTGCCCCCTGTGGCCCCCAGCGGGTGTCCTCCATCTGAGTGCCTGCTCTGGCCTCCATCCTGCTGTGGGGCGGGGAGGGGGCCATGGACTCTGTGTTCATGAACGCTGCATCCCTGGTGCCAGGATGAGGCCAGGCTCCTGCCCATGGGGTCCTGCGGCCCCGGCGCCTCCCCACGAGGCCTTGGCAGGCAACAGGAGGAGAGGCCAGGGCTCAGGTACCACGGGCCGGGCAGATGGGCTCCGCACCACGGCCCCTCCACGTGGCGCTGGGGCCTCGCTTCTGCGGGGTGGACGGAGGCCGCTGGACGGGCCAGACAGCGGCACACGGGCCCCCCACAGCCCCACTTCCGGGGCTAATGTGGAAAATGCTCTGGCTGGCTGGGCAGGGGTGCCATCAGCCCCTCATTAAGACGCTAATGACCCCCAGGGCCCCGCACAGAGTGCTGAGCACGGAGATCTTCCTGCGGAGCCCCGGCCCCAGGGAAATGGTCCGGAAAGTGCAGCTTCAGCCCTGGCACCATCTGCCGCGCCCCCTTTGCAGACCCTGAGGGGCCAGGCCGTGAGGGCAGCCGGGGCTGGATGACGGGGACCCTGGGCTATAAAATCCGCCGGAGCCCCGCAGCCACCAGCCTGAACCCGGCCGCCAGCCGCCAGCTGCCAGCCGCCAGCCGGTGCGTGTGCCACCGCCCGCCCGCTCGCTCGGGGAGGAACGGGGGCTTCCTTTAGCACCTTCCCCCCCAGCCTCACCCTCTGCACCCCCCAGGTCACCGTCCTTCTGCCATGGCCCTGTGGACGCGCCTGCTGCCCCTGCTGGCCCTGCTGGCCCTGTGGGGGGCCTGCCCCGCCCAGGCCTTCGTCAACCAGCACCTGTGCGGCTCTCACCTGGTGGAGGCGCTCTACCTGGTGTGCGGTGAGCGCGGCTTCTTCTACACCCCCAAGTCCCGCCGGGACGCGGAGGACACACAGGGTAAGCCTTCCCCCCCCCCCCCCCCTCCGCTGTCGGGCGAGCTGGGTTCCCGGTCACCTGCCCGCACACTGGCTCCCCGAGGACACGGGGCTGGGGGAGGGTGTGGGTGCTGCCCCGGCCCCCTGCACCCCCGTGGCAGGTGCATCTGCGATCCCACAGGGCGCTGTCCCGAGGTCAAGGCTGGCGTGGCAGCCCCGGGGTGGTGCCCGGGGGCCGGCCCTGCGTGGGCGTGCATGCGTGGGTCTGGCTGGGGCTCTGACTGGGCTCTCCTGTGTCTCTCTCCCTCCGCCCGCCCCTGCCACCCCGGGCAGTGGGGCAGCTGGAGCTGGGGGGGGGCCTGGCGCTGGACCTACCCCCGCAGAAGCGCGGCATTGTGGACCAGTGCTGCACCAGCATCTGCTCCCTGTACCAGCTGGAGAACTACTGCAACTAGACCCCGTCCCCACCGCCAATAAACCCTTCCACCAGCCCCGCGAGTCCTGTCTGTGTGTGGAATGTCAGGGCTGGGGTGGGGGCCCTGCCCAAGACCCCTCCCGGTGCACCCGCTAGCCTCCTCCCGGACGCACTCCGTGGGCCGGGGGGGGGGGGCGTGCAGGGGAGCGCCAGGCCCCAGCTGGCGCCTTCTTGTCCCACTGTCCTCGGCCCTCAAGCTCCCTTGTCCCCCAAGGGACCAGGGCCTTCTAGCACCCCACGGCCAGCCCTTCCCAGGCTGTGGCTTCTGTCAGGAGGCAGAAGCTAGGCTGGGCAGATCCCACGGGAGAGGTGAAGATGGGGTCAGGTCCCATGGGAGATGTGCAGAGGCCTCAGCGCCGGGTCAGACCCTCTGAGACGCTGTCCAGTTCCTTGGGGGAGCAGCATGGCTGGCAGGCCCCACGGTGGGGGACATGGGGCAGGGTCC